TGTCGCCCTATTTTTTGACCATGCACTCACAATTGTGGTTGGTGCAAGCGCAATGCAATGCAGCCTGAACATGAATCAGACATGAGGTATAATGTTTTTGTACCATGTTTTAGAACATCAAGTTAAGGACTCTCTGTGAGGAGATTGAGGTGACATGTTCAAAGTGTGTGGCAGAGAAAGGTGAGGTTGGAGCAGCTCCAATAATAATAATAATAAGTGGTCCTGCGCCTCATCTTCACTATTTAAAGACCACCAGGGCTGCCATTTATTATGAACAACAAGCAGTAACGAGTCTGTCCCATGGGGAAGAGGTTGAGACTAAACCAAAGTTGCAGTACAACTGCTTGTTTCAGCGCTGTCACTGCCAGCCCAACCAACGACCCTTCCCAATCCTCCATGGGACGTACGCGTACCTATTTCGTCCATTCCCATCAAGCTTCTCCTCTCCAACCTCTCGCCAACGCGCTTTTATGACCTTTTATCCCAACTAATTACTTGCCACTCCCGTGCTTCTTTTATGACGTTTCAAAAATCAGACGTACACTGCACAATATGGCGTCTTGAAGGAAAAACCTTGATTGGTGAGGGGCAGAACATCATTTATTATCTCCGCCTCGTTATAATAAGTCATCCATGAGCAGTATATATCATATTTTCGTCTCACCTTAAGAAAATATTGCTTTTTTATTAAACAATGTAAGAAATATTTTTTATTCGCATTTCACTAAGCATGGGAAATTATGTCTGAAAACTACTTGTGCCTCTAAACTAGCCAAATTCAGGATGACTTACGAATCTTTTTGGAGGGTTGACTTTTGGCAGATAGAAAACAAACCGCAGTGAACTCGTTTTTAAAATATATATATATATATATATATGGGGGGGTAACGGGGAAGGAAAATTGGGAAGGAAAATCCGCTCAAAATGAATAAAAAAGAAAAGGGAAGGAGAAGGGTGGAAGACAGGATGCAGACAGAAGCTGACAAGAACAATTGGGCCTGTCGTGGAAGGAGACAAGGCCCATTAGGGTTGGAAAGGGCCTAGCGTGGTCGTGTGGGTCCACTTGAAAGAGTTGAGCAGGAATGGACGCGTGATGACTTCGAATTGTGATGCAGATTCGCGGATGATATGATATGAGTCCTAGGGTCCTACTCTCACTCACACAGCAGTTGGTAGCTTAGCACTGGATTCTTGTGTTTGTGGTTCAACACTGAATTGACATTTAATAGCCCGCTCCTTTCTTCTTCGTCCGGTAAAATGGGTCACCTTCACTTCACCTTCCTCTCCAGTAATTCCCGTCAAATCTTCTTCCACTAACTGCTTCTACCCATTCACACATCCTCTATAACAAATCTCTCTGTCTCTCTCTCTCTCCTCTGTTTTATTTGGGGACAATACATAAGAAAATACGGAGCGACAGGTGTAAACTACTAAACTGTGATGTTCATACTTATTTTCTTGTGATTTCATATTTTGTGTTCGTACCCAAGTTTCTTCATCCCAGCCCGTTTGCTTCTTACTATTGTTACATTATTTACTTAGGCATATACTGACAAGTGACAGCACTCGTCTTATTTTTCCTTTGTTTTTTTTTAGGAGGGGGACGGGTTAGGAGGACTAGTAGAACAACCAAATAATACAGGTCCTCCAATGACTGGATTCTTTATTTATGTGTTTATTAAGTACTAATAGAAGGAGATGGTTAAAAAGAGTACTAGCAGGAGCAGAGTTGTCTTTTTTCTTTGAATTGTTTTAAAAGAAACTTGTTGTCTTTTTTATTCTCATCATTGGTTTAATTGATTAGTCCTAGTTTGAATTACTGTGGAAGCGGCGAAAAACAGAAGACGCGGGCAGGGGAAGGCAGAAAGAAAGAAAGGATAGTGGAGAAAGAGATTGAGCGGATGGGGTGATGAAGTATTGAAGTTGACCAAATTGGCAAGTTATTCTTACGGGGACTTTTTGGACCACAAAAGATCTCCTCATAAATCACAATCCATCCTTCTCCCTCTCTCTATAAATTTTTTTTGTTTAGTGTAGAGATTAGAATCCTGAAACGAAAACGAAATGCATTATAATTAGATTTTTTGTTTGTCATCATTATGAATAAAATGCCCAAAGAGAAGAGAATGTCCGCTTCAGTGGGGCTCAAAGAGTGTGCAGCCCACGTGAAGAAGGCCCATTATATCTTGGGAGACAGTGACCTTGCCTCTCACGGAATTAAGTCTAACAAAAGAGACTAATCTCACAAAATTTGACGAATCAAAATTCAAATGACAGTGATTTAATAGAATCGCTTGGAAAAAAAAAAAAGCCCCTGCGTAGCAACAAAACGGAGATAATGATAAATAACGCTGTGAAGTAGGAGCTGATATGGGACTGGCTGGGACTGTAGATGAAAATATAAGGGAACTCCACATTAAATGATGCAAATAAAATAATAAAGTGGTTATGAGAGGAATGAGGAATCATTTTGGGGGTGGAGAACAGTTGGGCGGGCAGTATGAGAAGGTGAGTGGATCAGACATGTCTGGCAATAAGCATCTCTGCAATGGGAAACAGACCACAGAACATATTCATGAAATCAAATCAAATCAGCTGAAAGAGGCATCACACTCCATCCCTTTGTGCCCAACTCCAGTATCTTTGATCTCCTCTCTTTCTTTCGCCCCGTCTCTTAAATTATATAAACCAAACACAACGGAATTAAAGTTCCTTTTTTTTTTTTAATATTCTCCCACCAAAATTATCTTCCCGCACAAACAAAATTTTGAAATATCTCGCCCTCTTTCCGGCTGTCTCTCCCTCTAGTCGAAATTAAAGAACACTAATCATTCATGGATTGAGACTATTTGTCAGTCATATTTTGTTTATAGTTGGGAATTTGGTCCTTGGCGATAAGAAGGGAAGAAACAGGGATGGAGGCGGTGGGAGGGGTAGTATGGGGAAGAGGGAAAGACAGCTAGAAATGGGGAGGATATTAGAGGAAAGGGAAGGAGAGGACATGACAGTGAGATTGGCGTAGCCGGGGGGCCCTCGTGAAAGTGACGCCGGGAGGCAGGGCACATCAGGCTTAATGATAATGGGCCCGCAAGGGAAGACAGAGCCCAGAGGGAGAAAAGGACCCAACAGGTGAGAGGACGTCAGCAGAGGAAATTGGGTAGGGTCGGGGGCGCCCACCACACCACCACAACCACAGGGATCGGGAGTTATGAGTTGAAATGGAAAGGGTAATGTAAGTAATACAGAGCTGTAATGGGGATTAAGAAGGAGAGAACAGGGGAGGAAGGCATAGACACAGTGCTGGGAAGGTGCCTACAGGATGTCGGGCGTTGGGGGTGGCCTCCTTCTCATTCTCAACTCATCTTTTCCCTCGACCTTCAATTTTAGGGCCTCACCTAATCTCACACATAACCCCAATGCCCACCTCTCTATATCTCTCTTTTACCCTTCCTTTCACTGCTCTTTCCACCACCATATCATTCAAAATTTAAAGCTATCTACTGATGCTTTGCTTTAATAATAATAATAATAATAATAGCCACACCCTGCAGGATACAAAATACAGCACACATCGAATTAATACATCTGAAATGGAACCGAGGAAGGAAAATCTCTTTAATATTTCTGACAACGTAATGCTTCTTTGCTCTTCCACTCTAGTGATATTTCAGTCCAATAAGAAATTATCGGATTTTATTGCGGCATATACTACACTTCCACGTTTATGATATAACTTTCAGCACACCACATGCTCCTTTTTTCACCCTTTTTAAAATGAAATTCACTAGATTTTGAATCCCTTGCATCATATAAAGTTTATAGTCAGTCATATTATTTATAATTCATAAATAATATGAATTCTCGTTGATTTTATATTTGATACATTGAAGACTTGTTCATAATACTTATAACTAATTATATTATTGATCTTGTTCACCAAAAGAAAAAATTATATTATTGATCTATGCTTTACACGAAATCTAAGCGAGTCACATTTTTGTAGCTTATAAATAACGCAATTTCTAATGAGTTTTATATTATATGGAGGTAAAGAAAATTATGTCGTGAACAATCTCATATATTATACATAGCCCGCCTATCTCCGAACATACGTTTTAATATCAACCGGGATGAGCTATAAGACCACAACATGAGACCGACTGAGAAAACGTTATCACCTTAGTCCTTCGCCTAATGATTCAGGAAATAGCTCCTCAACTTACTCATCAAACACAACTTAGAGGTCAGAACTAACACCTGCCCAAAACAAAAAAAGTAAAGAACTAATATTGTGTTAAGCTTCCTAAAATCAATAGGGCAAGCGCACCGCACTATCGCTCCAAAAACGACGCCTATTTGGATCTTTTTATTATTTTCCGAAGAGACTAAGACCCGCACCAGAAAAGACCAACTCCTATCTCTAGGAGGCCCATCTAACCTACAACTTAATCAAGCCCAGGTAAACGCGTCTTGGACAGAAGCATCGCGAGTCTGTCCTCGAGCTTATATCATCATTGCAGCCCGCTATGGCTTCAGGTCCCTTCAATGTGAACATGTCCCGACAACATAATGATTCAGGATATCTCTCTCCCACCTTTTGATGCTCAGCAAAGACTGGCTCATTTGATCCTCATGGTAAGCCCACGTAGGCTTAAATTGGAGGTCCCAAGTTTAAATGCCAAGCAGAAGCCAACCAGGAAAAAACAAAAAAAATTCTAAACCGATCAAACCGTGGCTGGACGTGATACGTCTTTCCCTTGGAATTGCGATTCAGCACCACCACATAAGTCAAACAAGCATACGAGAGGCTTTAGAAGATAAACCCTCTTTCACAGTTGATTCCGAGAAAAGCACAACTTTTTTCAACTAACTAGCAGAGTTAATGCCCAAGAGTTTTTACAACATGATGTAACATTCTAAGGAATGTGACTTCGAAAAAATTAGATATGCTTTAGTTTACCTCTCCTTTATAGTTAAACATAAGTACGCAGGAGGCGGAATTAATAATATTCGTTCAAACGATGGTTATATCCCAAGTTGCCAATATTCATTCAAGCCATTGACAAACAAATCATTTTTTATGCGCAGTTGACTTTAAAAGATAGTACAGACTGATCCACAAAAAAATAGACCAAGGAAGAGGCTAAAGAAATAGAAGCAACTTACAAAGTGATTGCTATATTGCTCAAAAAGTGGTTACATGAAGAATCATCAGTCATCATCAAGATCTAAATAGTACACAATAAATAACGTAAGCCTGCAAAGAGAAAGTGGGCAGAAAAATTTATCCTTTAGATTTCTCGGGGGTAACGAATATAGCCAGACATGAAGAATGTTATTCACAAAGCAAAATAAATAAATAAATGAACGTAGAGCTAAAACGATACCACAGATCTATCCCACCCATGCAAGCACACATCTTAGTTGTCCCCAGAAAAGCAAATGCCAAAAGAGGACCACAAGAGAAGAAGGGAGGAAAACATATCAAAATTGCATGGCGAAAGACAAGGCTACAGAACAAATGCCTTCTATAGCATTCAAATGTTGCATATTCAGAAATGGCTTATTAGAAGAAAGATGTTTTCAATGCTACCCTGCACCAACCCACAACACCCCAGCCCTACACAAATATTCACAATCTCGAGATGTCAACAGCTGTTATGATTATGATAGAAAATTTCACAAATGCGTTCAAGGATCTTGACGTGGCTAGGTCAGTGAGGACTGAGAATGAAAAGTCTGACATCAAGTGCAAGAACCAACTTAAGTTAGAGGCAGACGAGATGCTTCAAGTTTTTCTGTCTTAAAGAAGCAACTAGGAAACTAAATGAATAACACTCTGATTTAGTGAAGTAGAAACTGTTCTTTCATGAGGCGCCCACTAAGTTCAGTCCACCTTCACTACCAGGCTATGTTTCAACTCAACCAATGGTCAGGTCAGGCCAGACCCCATGTAGATAACAAGATGACTTAATAAAACTGAACTGAAACGAGATGAAGCAGAAAAGGCGGTCTGGCTAGATCAACTTTAATTTTGATGTTGTATGTCGACATCATAGCTGATACTGAAGGAAACGTTGCATTCTACACATTTAGTACTACCACAAGATGTATGTCTTCTTTCATACATGGCATTTCTCCCCGCATATTATCAAGTGTACTTTTTAATTAAAGTTTTCTGGGAGGGACCAGCTGGCTTATCTTACAATCTGCATTTTAGATCAAACACCTGAAGTTCTCATTGGATAACCTAAAGCATATGATTTTTTTCTTTCTCAGAATAATGGATATAATCTCAGAGAATTTGCTAATTGAGAGAAGAAATGATGCAAGCCATATTGATGAGTATCTAATAGTGTGTACAAAAGACCAGAATGTGCTATGTTAAGAACATGACAAACCTGAATACCGTGATGAGAAGGAGAGATAAGTAGAAGGCAAGCTTGACAATCCGATATTTCTTCTCAGCATTAAGTACCCTGAACACTTCGGTGACATCAAGAAGATGCTGCCGCTTCACATACCTAAGTCATTGAAAGAAGATAATCATGCCAGGGAAACATATGAATCCCTAGGCTACATTCATATGAAGCGCCAGACAAAAAATAAAAACAGGAAAAAATCACAGATAGTAATTCATTTTTCACTCAAATGCGCGGCATTGTAAATTCGTTTATAGATTTCCGCATTACAGTCAACATTTTTATTGATTAAAAAGTAGAAAAATTCGAAACGGGAAGGTGGATGGCACATTGAACACATCTTCCAGAAGCATCCAACCAGGAAATAATGAAATGTGATGAAAATTTAAGCAAAAATAACAGCAATAACAGGAGAGAGAAACTTATCCCTACCAAACACAATAAGAAGCATCACGCGAGGGGAAAAATTCTTGGAAGATTAAAAATCAAACTTACAGCGTAACATGATAGCAAGTAAGGGGAACGGTCAACAAAAACATGAACCAGTGCCCTGTGAAGAGGAAGAGAGCGCACAGTAGCCCCTGCCCAATAAACTCAGGAAGGACGAAGTAATTGATCCGAGATGAAGCATCATAGGGGTTGACGTAATCAGCTTCCAAGTCTGTTAAGATCAAAACCTGGGACCAGAAGGAAAACGAATCAGAACTTACGATTCACTAAGCAAGAAAAGAATCAGAGCGAATCGTGTATTGCAATCAAACTGGCAACAAAATTTATCTTTTTGGGGGGTAAAAAGAGAGAAATGGGGAGGAGGAATAGTTGGTAAAGTAAACAATACCTGGTAGAAAGTGGAGGCGAGGAGGGCAATGTTGAGAGGAAAACAGATGAGAAGCCAAAAAAGCAGAGTCCAACCCATCAAAATAGAGCAGAACAGGAACACGCAGGTGCCGAGTAAGTAGGGTTTCTAATAAAAAGTGGAGGGAGACCGTGCAAGCTGCAAGAATCCCAAATTCAAAACATGGAAGTTTTGGTGCCCTTTTTCAGTGTTTGACGCAATATATTGGTACCGTTCATCGGTCGCACTCTCCTCTTCCTTTATTCTTAGCAATTCTTTTGCGTTCGATTAATATAAATTAAATTCTTTTCCACATTAATCGAGTTGTTATCAAATTAAATTGGCTTAAACCTCTCTCTCTCTCTCCCCCCTCCCTCCCTCCCTCCCGGCATAAACAGGTCTGCTTAGACTTTTTGAAGTTAAAAATTAGCCCATCAATTTTAAAAATCATCCCATCAATTTTAAAAATCATCATTCTGAGTAAAATTACAACGTGATAGTACTGTAGAACAGTCTATGTAATAATGAAATGGGAGGACTTTGATTTTTTTTTTCCCCGTAACATTTTATCTTAGCCAGTTTGACTGAGATCATTATTTAATACTAATTCTTAATATAAGATCTAATTGTTAAATTAATTTTAATCCTAAATATAATATATATTTCTTATATTTATCATTTTTTTCTAAATTACTTCTATGAATGCTCCCTTAACCATAATCAAGTAAGTGGAGGAGGGAGAATATTAAAAAAGATTATTATAGTGTTTTAAAAAAAACTTGTCACATTTTTTATAATTAACTAATTTATCTAATTTTTTTAATGTAATTAAATTAGTTAAATAAATCTTATATTAAAAATCAGAAGAGTATTTCACAGACATACTTAGGTGGAAACGTGTTGTGATTTTTTGCATACCCAATTATGCTAACTGCTAAGCATATAAACCTATCGAAGGAACGTGCTGATGCCTGATACATGTTTTTTTAATTTTTCACGCGGCCTTGTTTGGAGTCGGGAAAATCCTTCTCACAGTGAACTCTCGAAAGCGGAGATTGACCAGACCAGTGAGTTTAGTTCCAAAGCATGTTTTGGATTCCGTCGTGGATCGCCCTATATTTTAGATGAGATATTTCTCCTGGTCAAGAAATATGCTGCTACGTTCATGTGGAGAGAGACATACGCGTACAAGAACGTTGGGGTTTGGAGTTCCAATTAGCGGGCCTTACTAACACGTCTTGTGCATTTATGTCTCCTCGCAGCACATCTTTTCACCCTAAAATAATCCAAATCCTTTTCAAACCGTGTCAAGATTGAGTTTTGAAAATGACAAGATCAACTCCTTCTTCGTTAGTTTCCTGGTCCTCCCCATCAGATAATGACTTCTATCTGGGTTCCTTCATTTTGTTGGGTTTCAGCCAGACGGGTTCACCAGCATTCTTCTGCGGTTCTACCTATTCTTCTACCCTTGATTGCCTTTCAGTAAAGCCCACCCAGGCAAGGTGGCTACGCGCTTCAACGACACCCACTAAGGTTGGGAAGCAAGCCCAGCCATTCATTATGGGCTTTTGATGTAAAATTTAAACACCCACAAGAACAAGGCTTCCAAAAATATAAAATTTACAGAGATCAGATCACAGCAAATCAATGTCACTCACAAATTATGATTAATACTTATCATTTACCGAATTGTTATAGAGTGTATAAATAGTTTCTATAAATTGGAAAATCAACCAGTATATTGATTTTACTTAAATTTTTCATTTACTTCTAAAAGACAGACGAGTGAAGCAAAATTCTAAATTATTAAACTTGTATTAGGATATGGCATTTGTGATGGCACAGAAATCAACCCCTTTTCGTCCCTATCCTGCGTTTGTCGGGTGAGGGTTAATATTGGAGTTAGGGGGATGTGCGGGCCGATCTAACATTGGATGATGGGCCTGATATGTCACTGCGATTGCCACCTCTGAATAAAAGGCAAAAGAAAAATTTTAAAAAGGTGTTCGCGTGTATACGGTTTTTTTTAATATACAAGTATCTTTCTGATAAAAATAATTCTATTTGAGACATTATTATGTACTGAATCTAAATACCTCTCTTGACAATATTGAAACCTTGATTCGATCATGTTGTGAGGGGCTAATTCATTTTACTGCATCCAACACCTGTAGCTCACGTGTACATGTTTGTGTTCACAAAAAACACATTTTGTTGCAGCAGAGTGCAGTGGAGGGCATCGAATTTTGGTCCACTCTTTCATCTATTCTGTCCCTCTGCCCTCCTCGGCTCTACTTTCTTCTTCCGTGATACTGGCACGGGACCACTGTCTTTTTAATTTATTTTGCCCTGTCTTCGATTTATCGTCAGATGGTGGAACTAGATTCCATCCAATAATTAAAAGCTGCTTCTCTGTGAATAATAATAATAATAATGCATCATGACATCATTCATCGCGTATATGTGTTATTATCGATGTCTCCGGAATATATACATGTAAAATAAGAACTCCGCATTAATATTCTATCCTGTAGCCCTTCTTAGTATTCCCCTTTTCCCAATCCGACCCCTACTTCACCTGATAATAAGCGACGCCATTCCCATTATCCTTATCGATTTGTTTTGGACCAGACACAAACGCCCAGATCAGATCCAAACTTGAGATGTTATGGCGAAGCTTTGATCCAAGCAGGACAAGTTTCGTGAAGGACGGAGATGTTTGACCACGACTTTAACACATAAAGTACACATCCCGAAATGTTTTTACAAGTCTCTTTTATCTAAAAAACAGCATTTCATCTCAAAGTATTCTTAGCGATGCCTTGGATCCCTACAGCCAAATAAAATGACCGTGGGAGGAAGAATAGCCTCCGTGCATGGGGACTTTATTTGACCGCGCCCTCAATATATACTCATTTTCATTAAATTCCCTGTCGTTGTTTAATTTGTAGTCAAGAGATATTTTTAAAAGAAATAACCACAAATAGATATCTAGAGCGGAGACTAACTTCCGCACATTCCATCTTCGCTGGATATTGTGCCCTCAACCTGACCCAATTTAGATTCTGCGCTCTTCTCCCTTCCTTTACTCGAGAACGTAACTTCCCATCAACATCATCATCATTATTATTATCAGCAAGTTGACTTCCGTTTTGCACGAGTCTCTGCTGAACAAGGAATCCCAATGGCAAAGTGGGTACACTAAAAATGACGGATAAATTTAAGTAATGTTATATTCAATTTCAATCCAACTTTTTTCCCTCTTTCGTTCTTTTGGTAATCTTGATGGAGAGTAATAATTAAATAGGAAACGTTTATCTCTGGAAAGACGGCGCCAGAGACAAGGCCCAGTGAAAGCGAAAGCGATGAGGCCGCCATAAGAGGCAAAGGCCCCCTCACGGCGGTCACGTCAATATATTTTCCGCCGAAAAAAAAAAAATTATCCAGCTACTGCGACTTTTTTATTCTCTGCCTAACGCCGTCATCCTTCACGCGTTCGATCTTTTTCCCTTTTATTTTTTTCAATTAATATTTATCTTCAAATAATTCCAACAATTTCGATGCGTCTGTCAAACATTTTTTTAAAAAATATTCAAAAATTATTGAAGGTGACAATTTTTTTTTTGACCGAAATTGAAGGTGACAATTACACCTACCAAAAATTGTATTTTATCTTGACAAGATAATCATGTCCTGCTTCTGCCCCCAGAATAATGAAAATATTTTATCTGGAACCCTTGGACTTTTAATTAACATGATGCTGGGTTAGTATGACTGATTCAGTGTCCTCAAAACCGGGGGTCGGTAATAACTCGTTGCAAGTTCGCATGCAGTATTATATTATACTCTCCATTCTGCAGTATTAATCCATTATTAATTATTCAAAGATTCTTACTCTGCTCTGTTCTTGACACCGATCTGCTAATTATAATACCATCTGTTTAATCATAATTTTACTTACTACTAACTGATTGTTACGACCTGCCCACTGTAAGTTTAAGATGCGCTACCTCATATGTTTAACATAAGAATTTGTTTTCCGGTCAAAAAAAAAAAAACATAAGAATTTGTTTGACATTCAATTTAATCATAAATATAAGATTTTAATATTTTTCTTCTCATATTCATCTGTTTTTTCTTAATATAATACTTGTAGTTGTTATACATGTTAAATATTTTATTAAATAATAATTATAGCTAATATACATGATTAGCAGATAATATTTTAGAGAAGACAGCACATATTTAATAGTCAAATAGTTTTTATATTAAGTACTATGCACCAAGCAAAAATTTGCTCGTCCGTCAATGCAGATTTAGTCATCACTGCATGCGTCGATGTCCATAGACTCCGCACTTGCACTTAATTTAGGAACTCTCTCCATCGTTTCGTTCCTATTCATAACGAATTCGTCCTTTCATTTTTCACGTCACAGTGAAATAATTATTGAAACTACTGGGTGTGATTATGCAATTACACATCACTTGTGGGTTTATAATTATTAGACGTGGGTAAAACTCCTAAAATCCGTCCAAATGTATGCTTTTTTTGTTTGCAACTGGCATAATATTTGTAGTACCATCTAAAACTGCAACGCTGTTAGTCTTCGATCGGGTTTCCATAAAATGCAAATTAAAAGCGAAAAATTACAATTCGTGATGGCGGCGTGTCACGATGGGGCTCTATTATGGATAGAAATCTAATACATTCAATCTAAGCTACCAATAATGGCTATCACCACCGGGGTTCCCAACCGCTGACCATGACGTCAAATTCGAACATCTCAATGCAATTAAATCAACGGCCTGCTCATCACTTATTTTTATTTAAAACGTTCTTTATCTAAGAACGCAGATCTGCTTACAACCATCTACGGAGACGTAAATATTTGGATTAGGCCATACTACAGAGAAGTTATCATATTGAATTATATCATCCATGAATTATAAAAAAAAAGTACCTTTTAAATTATATAAAATATACGAAGCTCACACTATGTGATGAATATTACAATTTCCACTAGCCACCTGATTAAACCTGTCAGATATTTCAATCTCCAATAGAATAGAAAATAAGAATGTTTATACGTAAGAGGTAAGGTTAGTGGTGGGTAGCTTTGTTCAATTACTGTGCGGCTCCGGCCGCTGGGGTGTGTTAGTGGTATAGATTATAAAGAAGACAACTTTCTGCAAAAAGGAAAAATACTTTTTCATAAGTAACAACAATAAATAGATAGTGCATTAGGCTTTGTTAATTGTTACTTTTGTGAAAGTTGACCCATAAGCTTATGCGAAGGAGAAGAGAGGATGTGGTGAGGGCATAACTGTACTTGTAAATATTTAAATGAATGAATCACTAACTCAAAGGAGGGGCACCGGGGAATGGGACGTCAGTGGATGTCTTCCTGTACTTTGTTATTGGCTGAACTGGCGGCAGCACCAGGCCACCAGCATCAGTATATTGCCTTCGTCTCTTCTCTGTCTCTCCTTCCCTTTCTTCATTCTCTTGTTCTGTGTCTGTGTGCTCTTTCATTCGTGTGATTTTATTTGCTTCCCAAAGCAATTCTACAGCTGCACCTAATCATCTCTGCATAACATAATCTGCCTGTCATTCTCACAGGTTCTTTGTATCTATTCTTCACCTTTCAGCTTTTTTCCTTCCCGAGCTATCTAGGGTTTTGTTCCCTTTGGATGCTTCTTTTACAAGATCTTATCCCGCCCTGCTTAGAGAGTAAGCTGAAAATTCCCCTCAGAAAGTTAAAAGAAGGAAGAAGACAATCAAAATTCTCAGAATTTTATTGGATAAAGCGGCGGGTCTTTTAGATAACGATTCTCGGGTCTGCGATGTGCGGGTGACTTTTACCTTTGCGGAAAAGCTATAATAATCAGGAACAGGGCCAACAACAGAGGCATTTATGGATTTGAATTCGCATCAGAATTATCTGCCCCAGCAGCATCAATCCAATTCAGGATTGGCTCGGTTTCGCTCTGCGCCCAGCTCGCTTCTCGCTAATTTCAGACAAGCTGCTGAATCTGTTAAATCCGAGAGACGAATTTCGAGATTCGCAAACAGCAGTAATAGCACCGATACGGCGTCGTCAAGCTTTCAAGAAGTCGAATCCGAACACAAGCCCCCTAAATCTCCATCGGAGGCTGCTCTGAGCCGTATGAATTCCCAGCAAGGCTATAGTGGCAGCGGGCTGCCACCTCACTATCCAAGGCATAGTTCTTCTTACAGTTCTTCCATGGACACCTCCTTTGGACAGATGGGTTCAATTGGAATGGATCACGTAACTCAGCCGAAAAGCTTTGCTTCGCCTCTTCTTAGGCAAAGTAGCTCCCCTGCTGGTCTTTTCTCCAACATCTCATTTCCTAATGGTACAGTAGTTCTTCTGCTTCCTTTGCAGGCTGCTTTTTAGCAAAGCTCTGGCATTCTTTCAATTATCTTGTTACCTCGGAAATAGAAATTGCATCCGCAACATAACAAATTGCGTCGAAATTAGACTTCACAATTTGATAGTATGATTGATTGACTATTAGGAGTATATGGAATTCTAGCTCAAGGAATTAAACAAAATTTGATACTGTTCTGGACAAGTGATTCCATTATATGATTATTTGGGATCTGGTGATCCGAATTGCATATGCCTCTGCGGTTGCTCTTTTTAATTTACATTTCAGCTCACTCTGATTTCTTATCGCAAATCAATTCCACTGGCTGTCGTGTAGTCATAAACGTCAGATTGTGAATTTTAAAAAGTATATTTGATACACGATGATCGTGGTTTCATTTTGAGGACCCATAAAGTAACGATAGATGCCCGACCCTGTTTCTTTCTTAAAGGGAAATATAATTGATTTTCGTGGCTTAATAAAATACCGAGAGGTTAACTGTAAATTGCAGCGTATGGCTCCAACAAAGGGATAAGAAACTATGGCGGGATGAACGGCAGTAGCAATGATGGACTTACTCCATCTATCAACAACGGATTGAAGAATCAGATTGGCTTCTCATCAAGAAGTAGCTCCCTAGGAGCCCTGTCCCACATCTCTGAAAATGAATGTGAGGGTACTGGAGCAACGAGCCCAGATGATGGTAGAGTGGGAGCTAATAACAGTGGCGATACTCGGTATTATGGCCCTGGCTTTCCTTATGCTTCTTGGAATGATACCTCATATGTGTCAGAAAATCTCCCTGGTTTTAAAAGAGATCAAACTGGCAATGAAAAGGTGTACTCTGACGTTCAGGTATGCATATCGGCTGCTCAGTTTTTCGGGGCCCCTAGTTTTTATGTATATGTTTTCACCCAATTCTGTTTATTCGATTTCCCTCTTCTTGATATAAACAAGTTGATTTGTTCAGAATATTGAGCCTGGAAGTCGGGTTAATGTATTATCGCATCACTTGAGTTTGCCAAAAACCCCATCACATATGGCTGCTGTGGAGAAGTTTCTTCAATTCCCAGATTCTGTGCCTTGTAAAATAAGAGCAAAGCGGGGCTGCGCCACTCATCCACGAAGCATAGCCGAAAGGGTAGGGTTTTATCTCTGCGCCAACGCCAGTTAAATATGGCAGTGCTTGTTTGTATCGTGCAGAGTGAAGTAATTAATTAGTTCTTTGCTAAAAGTATGAGAAATAACTTAAGATGATTCTGAGAACAAGTTATTATGATACAGGTCAGAAGAACTCGTATCAGTGAGCGAATGAAGAAGTTACAAGATCTTGTCCCAAACATGGACAAGGTAAGATTCATGATTCGCATTTTTATAATCTGTATGTGGGAAGCTTGTCATTGTATGAATTTGTTCTTGGCAGCAAACGAACACGGCAGACATGTTGGACTTGGCTGTTGTGTATATTAAAGATCTTCAGAAACAATTCAAGGTACGTAAGGAGAAATTAAGTTTGCCCAGAATTATGATGGTCTAATTGATGACTTTGCGTCTGCACTCACATAATGAATGAAATTCTGCAGACTCTGAGTGAGAAACGGGCAAATTGCAAATGTACTAACGCGCGGAAAGCACATGGAAATTAAGAGGGTTCACTAACATATAATGAACAAAGCTTGCAAAGAAGGGTTTTGTATGCTGAAAAGTAAGTAGAAAGCAGCCGCATATAAATGTTTTGTTATAGTCATTGGATGATACAGAAAGCTTGTAGCTCTTAACCAACGCATTCAGGTTCTTTGAATTTTGTACAGCTTAATTCTGATGACGTATGCCTATTAAGTTATGTAATACAGTAATAGTATCTTTTTCTCTCTTATTAGAATTTTGATCGGTTAAATGTTTGTATTTTTGGGTATATTTCGTTTGGAGTTGGGTGATAGTTGTCTCACAAGTGCATTTGACTTGATTGCGAGGCAATTGGGTGAAGCAATAGAACTAATGAAGAGCTGTGTGTGTGGGCGGGCGCATATTCTTTTTGTCCAGGGTGCTGCATGAACGAAATTAATACACAGATGGCCCACCAAATAATAAAGAAACGAAGAACTAGCGTCAGCGGATAGAGCGTTGATATGGGGAGTTAAACAGGAGGATAGCTATTCATAGAAGGGGTTACAAATTGGAGCCTGCACACAGTTTCGTGGTTGACGGAGGATGGGGACTCTTAGAGCACAAAACAAGTAAAAATATGGGCGCCCACCTTATGGATTTTGCCCAGACAGGAGTCAAGAATCAGGACCCTCTTGTTGGCTTCATGGGGTTCCACGCTCAACAAAACCCCTCCCGTTCGTTCTCTGTTAAAACATTTAAACTAGACTTCAAATTTAGATTTAATTTTTTTTTATAATATAATATTGTACTCTCTCTTTCATTTGAAAAATTTACAAAGGGATAGGCGCAAAACAAAATGTGCAAATAACTTTTATTTCACAAAAATCAAAGTTAGAATTTAGGGAAGATATCTAACACTATTTAACACTCAAGTAACGCAGATGTGCAAGTGAAATAATGTGTCTGTCACTAGTGAACCCTAAGAAAAAAACTATTTGTGAATTTTTCATCCTCAAGCATAATCTGACCTTAAAATTTTTATATGTTAACTATGAAGTGTAATCAATGTCAATCAATCAATATTCAATAAAAAGTAGAAAAATTATAATGATTATCGATTTCTAAATCATGAGCAGTATATATGGTTGTTCAGGTATTTGAGGGGATGCTTCATGCTTGTATATATGAGTGTAGTTACCCCAATGACCCCCCTCCTCCTCATCCATGGTCGTCCGCCTCCATGATTTGCGGCGGCACCTCGTCCCAGAGCCGCCTCCTATCCCACATTATCAAGTTCAGATATGCAAGGCCGTTGGCACATGCCCGACTCTGGCATCCCGTGGCAGGTCCATGACCATTTGCAGTTTCCTCATCATAAGCCGACCACCACCTCACTTCCTCTGCAAACCCAACCACTGAACCATCCTTATAAAAACCAAGTAGATCTTACAATTATTGCTTATATTAAACGCACCTTACGATACCGGGGGGATTAATTAGTCTCCGTATTCCTTTAAATCAGAGTATTACTTTATGGAGTTGGTCGCAAGTCTTTTTCCTTCTTTTTTGAACTATGGAGTACAGTAATATTTTAGTATATAGAGTTAAAAATATATTATTTTGATGATTATGGCTGGTCCAAGCACGATCAATTTGATGAAATGACTAGCAGTTGGAATTTAAAAGAAACGATTAGAATGACAAATCAAATGGGGTGTTCTCATTTAGTATACGAAAGAGGTAGGAGAGGGAATATGACAGACAGTACGGGGAGAATCATTTTCTTGCTTGAACATCATATGACTCGTGGCTAGCTCGCACTGATTCATTTCTCTCGTGTCTGATATCATCAAGATTGACAAATGGGGCGCTCTTTCTTTTTTAAACACGCTAATCCCCTTTTACTCCCTTATTCCGCGAAACTCTACAGTAAATCCCACATATATCTCGAATCTTCCAAGATTTGATAAGATCGCCAGTGTCTGAACAAAACTCAAATTATTCACCCTTGATGAGAAACAAGCAGATAAACAGTACTCCTTTCCATCCGGTACTATTTGTAAATCTCTAATTTAAGAAGAGCTGTAACCTACTTTATAAGCTTTAATTTCAACCTCTCTTAATATTCTATCTTTAATTATTTATTCTCCCTCTTTTACCACATTTTCTAATTACATTTCCTCATTGCTCTTTTTTCTTATTTATTGCAAGGGCATGTTTAGAAACAAAAATATATTTCTTATTTATTTATTGTTTTTAACTAATTTAAACTGATTTTTGATTACATGCAAATTAATTATTTAAAGTTTATAATAATAAGCCAGGAATTAAGGGATAAGAAATTACCAGAGTTCGGAACACATTAATATTTTAATGCCAATTAATAAGCATTAGGTGAAAGGTCAAAACGGCAACGCCATTATAAGCTACCTCCGCATTCTGATGAAGAGCGCTAAGTATCACCGTCTTTCACTCATGGCTTCGTTCCAAGCCTACTTACAACTAGTCCTGATATGGGCAGTGCCCATCATTCTGGTTCGAGCCATACTCACCAGATATCAGAGCAAGGCTCGTCTTCCACCAGGCCCTCCGTCCCTACCTCTCATCGGACACTTCCACCTTCTTCCGCCGTTACCGCATCGAGCTCTTCATAATCTCTCCGCTCGTTATGGACCCATCATCCAACTTTTCCTCGGCTCTGTCCCTTGTGTTGTTGCTTCCACACCTGAAACCGCCAGAGAGTTCCTTAAAACCCATGAATCTTGTTTCTCCGACAGGATCGTAAACGCTGCCGTCCATCACTTCTCATATGGATCCAAAGGTTTCCTGTTTGCCGCTTATGGACCCTACTGGAAGTTCGTGAAGAAGCTATGCATGTCCCAGCTTCTGGGTGCTCGCACCCTCGACATCCTCCATCCGGTGAGGCGAGATGAGACCATGAAGTTTCTGGGAGTTTTGCTCAGAAAAGGGCTGGCGGCCGAAGCCATTGATGTTGGCCACGAGCTCATGACATTGGCCAATGGTATCATATCAAGAATGATAATGAGTCGATCTTCTTCCGGAAACGATGATGAAGCCAAAGAAATTAGGAAGTTGGTGACTGACACGGCAGAGCTCGCGGGGAAGTTCAACCTATCTGATTTTATTTGGTTGTTAAAGAACACCAATTTGCAGGGCCGATTGAACAAAAGGCTGAAAGAAACTCGGGACAGGTTTGACGCTTTGTTGGAGGAGGTGATAAAGGAGCATGAACACGAAAGGAGGAAAAGGAAGGAGCTGCATGAAGATGGTCAAATAAGAGATTTGCTTGATATTTTACTGGACATACATGAAGATGAGACTTCTGAGATCAAGTTTTCCATGGAGAACATTAAGGCTTTTGTCTTGGTTAGTAAGCTCAGTTTTACTCACTTCGATTCTCCTGTTTTCTTCACCATCTTTGATTTATTTATCCTTTAGCTCTAAATTTCAAAAGCAATCCTACATCTCTTTGAATATTTTAAGTGTCATTAATTGCAACTGTAAAAATAGAGACAGGGGATATATGGTAAATTTCCTTCTGGCAATGGATATATTGAAATTTGGCTCAGTAGGACCTTGCCCATTTGGTTAACCAGAAATGTTGCATGTTGTAGAAAGCATTTTTTAAAACCCCCCCGGGACGCCGACTTCACAATCACACACACACAGGAGTGCGCGTGTATATGCTCAAGCGATTTATTCCAGTTACGTGTACTTGGGTTTATTGAATTCTAAAACCTCTCTATTTGCTTAATTTGAAGGAACAAGCCATCGAATATTCAATCATTACTTGCTCACCTCATGGCCCACTATGCGTCATATTCTCTTTTTGCCAACTATGCGTCATATTCAAATTATACGACCCCTTCTAATTACGCATTACTCTGCATCATATAGGACTTGTTCATGGCCGGAACGGACACATCTGCCTTAACCACAGAGTGGGCATTAGCAGAATTAATCAATCACCCTCGTGTGATGGAGAAAGCAAGACAAGAGATTGATTCAGTTGTGGGAACGAGTAGAATAGTGGAGGAATCTGACATGGTCAAATTGCCTTATCTGCAAGCCATATTTAAAGAAACGCTAAGGATCCATCCCACTGTGCCATTGTTAGGAAGACTATCATCTGATAGCTGCAACGTCTGCGGCTATGAGATTCCCGCAAAAACGTTGTTGCTTGTTAATTTGTGGTCACTTGGGAGAGACCCCAAACTTTGGGAAGACCCACTTGAGTTCAGACCAGAGAGATTTGTAGGCACAGAAGCAAGTGGGAAGGGGAATCTGGATGTTAGAGGGCAACATTTTGAGCTGATTCCTTTTGGGAGTGGAAGAAGAAGCTGTCCAGGAGCTTCATTGGCGCAACAGGTTGTGAAAACAAACCTAGCCGCTATGATTCAGTGTTTTGAGTGGAAAGTGAATGGAGGCAATGGAACTGTGGATATGGAGGAGAAACCATCCATGACCCTTCCAAGGGCTCATCCCTTAATATGTGTCCCTCTGCCACGTCCTAACCTCCTTCCTTCCATCTTGCAGGTAATGGAACAGGCATAGCAAAATAACAGTTTATATATTAATTCAGCAGAATAAGAAAAATTATGCAGCAGTATGAATCATAGACGTAATTTGCTTACGGACTTTTATGAGAACTAGCATATACCAAGGGACATAAATATACCCATATAATATATATTGACCGCAATTATATTCAATGTTCTCCGTAATTTCTGTACGCTTTCTTTTTTGGTGGAATTTATCTATTACATTTAACCCTCTAGAACGCAACACATATAATATTGCTGCACAATTTTGAATATTGTAAAATTGATTCATTCGGTAGTCTCGTTCAACAAACCATTTGGATAAATATTACTATAATGGGTGACAATAATTTTCGCTTTCCAGCAAATAAGAATGGTCCTTACGCGTATGAGATAAGAGAGAGAGATGTGTGTGTTACAGTGTGCCCGGCCCCGCTAAGGGGTCTCTCCATTTCTTATAGGTCCGTTTGTTACAGAGTATTAAAAATAAGAATTTGATATTAGGATTGTAATTGGAAAAAAAATCATTATAATAGTATTTTGCATGAGTAATTGCTTATTACGTACATGCGATTAGGCAAACCCATAAACATGAGATTGAGGATAAGGGTGGAAATAAGCCAGGCGGCCTGTCAGAAACCTCTGGCCTGGCCCATTTTTAGCTTGATCAAACCAGACCTGTTAAAACGTAGGCATAGGCAATAGGCTCAGGCTTTTTTAAGGGTTTATTTTGTTTAATAGGCCAGGTTCAGGTTTTATAAAAAACCTATAAAGCCTATCAGGCTGCGTGGGCCTATTACATATTTTATATTTATATCCAATCATGTTAAAAACACGTCTTGGGATTGAAGATAAGGGTAGAAATAGGCCAGTAGCTTGTCAGAAGCTTCTAGCCTGATCAAGCCAAGCTTGTTAAAACATAGGCATAGGCTTAGGCTTTTTTAAAAGCCTATTTTGTTTAACAGATCAGGCTCAAGCTTTATAAAAAAGCCCACAAAGCCTATTAGGCGGCTCGCGCCTGTTACGCATTTTGTATTTATGTCCAATCATGTTAAAAACACGTCTTGGGATTGAGGTTTGAGGAATACTATTTCTCCTTATGGTATTCCCCAATCCCACATACATGGGTTTGACTAATTTCATATAATAAATAATCTCTCATGCTAAATACTCTTTTAATAAATTTTTTCAATCTCAATTCCTATCTCTAATTTTCAATGCTTCCTACTAAAGTGTCCATTTCGCTCCACTTTCCTCAAATGATATCGTTCTTTCCTTTTCACTTACAGCCTGCACTCGGGAAAAATAACACAGCGTCCTCCTCGCTATAAACACAGTCTCTCCCCCCACCGGGGGCCGCCCCAGGTGCGGACTATAAGAGAACGAACGACGTCGTTGGAGGGAGGTGGAGCGAAATAGACCCATATTAAATGGAGAGACCCTTTGCCGTGCCCGACAAACGTATCGCCTTTCGATGTTTTGCATTATACAAAAATAGTCAAATAAGTTTGTTACAAATTTATCATAATACTCATGCTTCGGAAGAATCAAGTATATCCAGTAAAATGTTGTGGCGACATATCTTTTTTTTTTAATACTCCTCCGGTCCTTAATATAGGACTCAATTCTTGAGTTGGTTTTAGTCCTAAATATAAGACCCATTTCTTATATTTATTAATTTTCTCTTAAATTACCCCTATGGATACTCTCTTAACCATAATCAAGTAGAAGAAGGAGGTGGAGTATTAAGAAAGATGATTATAGTGTTTTAGGAAAAATGTGTCACTTTTCCTATAATTAACTAACTTACCTAACTTCCTTAATCTAATCAAATTAGTTAAATGGGTCTTATATTAAGGACCGGAGGAGTATATATACTTCCTTGCAATTAACGAAATTTTTCGTGGGAAATCAAAATTCAAACACTTTTTTTTAATGTTGGTACAAATTAGGATATTATTTTCAGCATTTATTCTTTTCATAATCTCCCTAATAAATACTATTTCTGTTTATTAATATAAGAGTTTGTTTGACTTTTATTTTGGTTTTAAATATGTACCTCAATTCACTTTGTCTCTTATATTTATTTTTCTCCAAAGTAATTATTATAACAATGGTGGTTCTAACTAATACACTTGATTACCAAAAATATTTTGAAAAAAATAACATTTATTTATTACAAATAACTAATATAACTAATTTTCTTAATATACTTAAATTAGTCAACTAGCTCTTACATTAAGGATTAGAGGTAGTATTATAATTATCAATTGAGTTGGATTTGATTTTATGACTGTTGAATTATTTAAATTGCTTGAGCATCACGTTGTGAATTTATTAGCATTACTACTTTTTTCTATGTAATGTTTTAATACAGAAGAATATTAAGGTAGCCCTATCTTATGTTAGTTACTAGTGCCTTGAGCCTGACCTATTTTATAAATTATTGATTGGATTGACAGATCAAATGGGGTGTTCTTATTATTTTAAAGAGGTGAAGGAGGTGCATTAAGATCGTTTTCTCAAATTTTAATTTGTTCATTGAAAGACGAAGCATGAAAACAAAAACAAAAAAGAAAAGAAAACTACCCCTACGAAAGGCCATGTGCAGTGCGCACTGTTCGCCAACCATTGTCTTTTCTTACTACGTGGGGAACGCGGACATTTTCAAAAGCAAAGTAGCGCCGGTTTATGTCATGAGAAAACCAGTTTTGGTATTAATCATTTTTTATGAGCATCTTAAACTTATCAGATTTAAATCACTCATATTTTATTTGGATATTCTGGATTTGGTTTTCTTTTTATTTTTATTTGCTTAAAATAATTATTTTAATATATGTAGAATCTAAAATAAAAATAGTTTTTTTAACTATCATTTTTTAAAAAATAATTTTTTAATTTAAAAATAATTAATTAAAGATTTTAAGTCTGAACAGTTTAAATCAGATATAGACAGTTCTAATCTGATGAGTTTAAAGTGCTCACTAAAATGATAATTACCCAAAGTGATTCCAAGTGATGACTATTGACCTTTGAAAAACAAATTAATACTGCCAGTTGCTACGCAAATAAGGACATAATCATTTAATACTGCTTGTTATTATATCAGCAATACTGACGAGAAGATATATAAAAGATTACCAGACGTCGGAATCACTTTATGCCAATTAATAAGCGTTATTAGCGGAAGGGTCTAATCATTTGGCTCATTATTATTCTCTTTATCATCTGCCAAGCCAGCTACTCCTAGAGAACTAGGCATTGCCGTTTTTCACTCATGGCTTCTTTCCCATTCTACGCCCAACTTTTCCTGATATGGGTAGTGTCAGCCATTCTGGTTCGAGCCCTACTCACCAGATATCAGAGCAAGGCTCGTCTTCCACCAGGCCCTCCGTCCCTCCCTCTCATCGGGCACTTCCACCTTCTTCCGCCGTTACCTCATCGAGCTCTTCATAATCTCTCCGCTCGTTATGGACCCATCATCCAACTTTTCCTTGGCTCTGTTCCTTGTGTTGTTGCTTCCACACCTGAAACCGCCAGAGAGTTCCTTAAAACCCATGAATCTTATTTCTCAAACAGGTTAGCAACCGGTGCCGTCCGCTACTTATCATATGGATTAAAAGGTTTCATGTTTGCAGCTTATGGACCCTACTGGAAGTTCATGAAGAAGATATGCATGTCCCAGCTTCTGGGTGCCCGCACCCTCGACATCCTCCATCCTGTGAGGCGTGATGAGACCATGAAGTTTCTGGGTGTTTTGCTCAGAAAAGGGCTGGCGGCCGAAGCCATTGATGTTGGCCACGAGCTCATGACATTGGCCAATGGTATCATATCAAGAATGATCATGAGTCGATCTTCTTCCGGAAACGATGATGAAGCCAAAGAAATTAGGAAGTTGGTGACTGACACGGCAGAGCTCGCGGGGAAGTTCAATCTATCTGATTTTATTTGGTTGTTAAAGAACATCAATTTGCAGGGCCGATTGAACAAAAGGCTGAAAGAAATTCGTGATAGGTTTGACGCTTTGATGGAGGAGGTGATAAAGGAGCATGAAGACGAAAGAAGGAAAAGGATAGAGCTTGGGGAAGGTGGTCAAATAAGAGATTTGCTTGACATTTTACTGGACATACATGAAGATGAGGCTTCTGAGATGAAAATTTCCATGGAAAACATCAAGGCTTTCGTCTTGGTAAGTAGAGGTAGTTTAATCTCAGCGACATCGTTTAATTTCCAAGTTGGATCCAGCCATCCTATGCCAATCATTGCGTGCTCACATCTCATCACTGACCCCATTAAGCAGGACCGTATTTAAAATTCATGTCTACTAATTACGTACTCATCGTTCCTATATATCCACGTTGAATTGAATTATTCGATTATGTTCATGCAAAGGAATATTGAGTAGCCATTTCAATTTATTATCATTGAAACTAATCTGTCAATTGTTGCATGTTTTAGGATTTGTTCATGGCCGGAACGGACACTTCTGCCCTAACCACAGAATGGGCTTTAGCAGAATTGATTAATCACCCTCATGTGATGGAGAAAGCAAGACAAGAGATCGATTCAGTGGTGGGAACAAGTAGAATAGTAGAGGAATCTGACATAGTCAAATTACCTTACCTGCAAGCCATAGTTAAAGAAACTCTAAGGATTCATCCGCCGGCGCCATTGTTAGGAAGATTATCATCTGAAAGCTGCAACGTGGGTGGTTACGACATTCCAGCAAAAACGTTTCTGATGGTAAACTTGTGGTCAATTGGGAGGGACCCCAAGTTCTGGGAGGACCCACTTGGGTTCAGGCCAGAGAGATTTATGAACATGGAAGCAAGTGGGAGGGGGAATTTGGACGTTAGAGGGCAAAATTTTGAGCTGATTCCTTTTGGGAGTGGAAGAAGAAGCTGTCCAGGAGTCTCACTGGCACAATTAGTAGTGAAAACAAACCTAGCTGCCATGATTCAGTGTTTTGAGTGGACAGTGAATGGAGGCAATGGAACTGTGGATATGGAGGAGAAACCATCTATGACCCTTCCAAGGGCTCATCCCTTGATGTGTGTCCCTCTGCCACGTCCCCACCTCCTTCCTTTTATCATGCATGTGATTGAGCAGGCATAGCAAAATATTATTTATGTTTCGACCGGTGCTACGGTTGTCACCTAAGACAGACGTAATTTGTTTGCCAAAATGAAAATGGCCATATCAAGAGACGGACATGTTATAGTTACACAAATGTATGCATTCTCCACAATTCAATTAAATATTTATTCTTCCATTGAGTTTACTTTTGGAATTTCTCCTTTAGAGCGCAACAAATATAATATTGCTGCTAAATTTGAATATTGAAAAACTAATTCATTCGGTAATGGTTCAACAGGCTAAAGTCAACTTTAAATAGTTGTCTCCCTCAAAGTGAGGATATTTTCGTTGTGGATTGTGCATTTTGTTTTTTTTTTTAATAGTCAATTATGTTTGTAAGAGTAAGAAATTTATCAGATTATCATCATTTTTCCGAGGAATTAAATATCGAGTAGTGTTGTGGTGACGTACCCTATTTTGAATATACTTGCAGGGACTTATTTTTCCAGGGAAATTAAAAAAAATTTTATGTAAGTTTCTTTGACAATATTGAATTACTGATTTTTTTTTTTTTTGCCAACTTGAATTAATGGTCTATTGACAGGGTCAAATAGAGTGAAGATTTTGATATATGAAGATTGTTAGTTGTTAAATAGCTTAAACGCCTTGAAGATCTAATTTTGAAATAAGAACACAGCGTCCCATTTTACAGTGCATCGTTACTCACTACCTCCGAATCATCCATCGTGTCGTTCAACGACTTCGAATGTCTTTTCAGTTTTACGGCGAAAGTTACATGCTGAAGAGTTTATGGTGAAAACATTTATTATATCCTCTCTGTGCTGCCCCCAGGCCCCAAGAACGTACACATTTGGATAGAAAGGCATAATTTAAGCCATGCTTATTTTGGAAGACGGAAAGCAAATAAACTGCCGTCACTCTTCACTCTTTCGTGCTTTAAGGTTATGTTGAGTGAATAGTGAGGAATGCGTAGAAGTCGGTGGTGTTGAAGGGCACGGCGGGCCGATCCAATCATTTGCAGCTGGGCAGCGGAGATCCACAGAGGCACTTGTTATGAAAATAGGAATAAACATCAAACCTCTGCAACCTTCCGCCCTGAGGGATTTCGCCGCACATCCGATTGTAACTCACATTGAACATCTGCAAGAAATCCACCGCCTTCAATCCTTCGGGAAGCTTCCCGTATATCATGTTATGATTCAGGTCCAACGATATCAAGCTGGTGGGGAACTCCACCCTGCCGACATCGAACGCCAGCAAGTTCCTCGACAAGTCCACCGTCTGGGTCGTCTTGTTGGGCCCGAAAAGCATGTAGGCATCGCCCTCCAGCCTGTTTCTCTGCAACTCGATTCCGGTCGGGTCTTGGTTGGCGAGGGACGCTGGGATTCTGCCAGAAAGCTGGTTATGGGAGAGGAGCAGAGCAGGGGAGGAATTGAAGTATCCGAAGGAGTCGGGAATTGGGCCGGTGAGTCTGTTGCGGTCCAAGCGAAGAGATGTGAGTTTAGGGAGCTGAGAAAGAGAACCGGGAATATGGCCGGAGAGGTTGTTGAATGAGAGGTCCAAAGACTGAAGGTTTTTGAGTTGGGCGAGGAAGTCGGGTACAGGGCCGGACAAATTAGTCCAGCTGATAGTGAGATAGGTGAGGGAGGTGAGGGTGGCGATGGCGGGAGGGAGGGGGCCAGTGAGGTTGGGAAGTTTATGGAGGATAAGGGTGTCGAGAAAAGGGAGGTTGGCAATAGAAGGAGGGATTTGAGCGGAGAAGTTGGTGTAGGGGACGGAATCGAGAATGGTGAGGGAGATGATGCGGTGGGTTTTGCGGTCACACTTAACGGTGTACCAGTAGCAGCAATCAGTATCGGGGGTCCAGGAGGCGAGGAGGTAGGGGTTGTTGAGGTCCTGCTTGAGTTGGAGGAGGGCCTTCTTGTCGGCCGGGTTGCAGAGCACGGCAAGGGCGGGCGAGATTAGTATGAGAAGGAAGCACGCACGGAACATGGTTGCCATTGTTTCCTTTCCGATGGAGAGTGATGGACCGAGGGATGATCCGTTTATATGACAGTAATGGGATTTGGATGGCCCATTATCACAGACTACGGCGGCCGCTTACGTTGAATTCAATTCACTGCACGCATTGCGGGTGCCCCGGCCCCATTCCCCGTACCCTTTTTTCTTTGCCGCATCCACTTCCCTTTCCACGTCATTATCCATCCATTCACAAATTAAGCTACGTAATAATTTAATTAAATTAGTATAAAGCGTATGTTATGTCAATTTTCCTTCAACTAATAAATACTTGGAGTTGAAAAAAAGCACACAAGAAAAATTATATTCAGGCTATAGATCACTAACCGCTGGCAAAAAAAACGGGGGGTTATGGATCATTAACTCAATCCCGTATTCTGCCTTGATTTATTGTTGTGCTCATACAAACCCGCATGCACTACTTTTGTATAGAATTCCAGGCTGGCCAGCACTCGTCCAAGTCAAAGTCAAACAAAGGCGTCTTCTTTTTTTAAAAAAAAAGGGGGATAAAAATAGAGTACAACTTGGCTGTTTTCCATTGGAGCTCTCCCTGCAAAACAGTAGTGATTTTTGGTGCACGTTTTTACTCAAAGTTATTAGGCATTTCAAAGTTTTTGTAAGTACAGATATATCTTAAAATTTTGAAATTGTAATAATTTTATCTCTCACTATTAAAAATATTAACACTTAACATGACATAAAATTATTATGATTTTAAAATATTGAAATAAAATTGCATTTTAAGAAAACTTTCAAAGGGGAAATGTCCGGAACAAATTTCCAGAAATGATTGAGGAGAAATAGCTTAACTTTCAGACCTACAGCGGGTTCGGCTTGTTTTTGGGGTTTTAACTACTTTAGGTAATGGTCTGGAGCACACGCGAGCGGGCAACCTGATTTGGGGAGCAGTTCATCAACTTTGTAGATAGTAAGCGCGTGAGGATAACAGTGATTACCCCCCGAGGAATACCACGTGCAGTGCGCCCCATTTGCCAGCTAATTCGTTCCACGGTAAGCGTGAACAAGACCATGAACATGCAAACTATGCAAGTTGAGGTGCGCGGCCCCTTGCATTATCCCCCCGTGGGTTTCCTCTCTCACAACCTTATCCCTTGTCAACTGTAACGAAGAAAAAACCGGACTGAAAATTAAACGGGTCGAGATAGTGGGTTAAGAGTTACTAGTTGGACTGTAGTCGGACCAGGATCAAACCGGTCATATTAAAATAATATAATTTAATTCATAATATTAAATATATCATGTTGATTATTAATCAATTTTTTTTACCAAAAGATTACTGATGAAAGCTGAAACCACAATAAAAAAAGATTATGAAAATCGACTTTAAAGTCCCTTGAATTTATGTCCACTGTTTTTGATTTCGTTGGCTTTGAAATCTCAATAAAGAAGATTCTAGCAGTAGGTGAAAAGAAGCGAAAGAGCGCCAAATTCCCCTCCCACTACTTCTCCCTCCAATATCATATATCAGCACATACAAAAAGCACAGAACCAATTTTTATCATTGCAAAAGTTTCTACCTTTCTTCCTCTTCCTCTCTCTCTCTCTCTAACTTTCTGGAGCAATGTGTACTACAAATGAAAGATACCCACTAACAATCTCGTGAGCTTCTTTCAGTTTACCGGGTTTCTTTCCTCGTTCAAATCTCTCATTGACTGCAACTATAAACCATTGAATCTCTCTCTGCAAAATCTTACTTTTCAAACTAAAAAAAGATGGCTCTCAGCTAAATTTTCACTCTCATTACTTGTTGGTATGCTCTGTTTTCACTATGGAAATGTACTAGTAAACAGAATTAAAAAGGCTTCTTCTTATATCATCTTTTCTGTTTGAGCTAATACGCGAAAAATGGGCTTTTGAGATTTTACTGTCTTCCTTGGTTTAGAAGAGAAGAGATTTTTTTTATTTTCTCTCCATCAGTTTGTTTTTCGCATCTTCATCACAATGATATTCCAAAAAACTTTGCTCGTGTTCATATTTGCCCCTGGCACTTGTCAGCTTTCTCTCTCGCGGTCGGTGATGGACACGATTTGGTTTTCTTCAAGGGAAGCTTCAAGTTCCAATAGGTAGTGAAAAGTAAGCGAAATTCGCAGTCATTGTTCTTTTTCTTCCATAGTGTTCTGATCGTAGAATTCACATGCTTAGTTTAAGTTCTCATTGGTTCAATCTCGAAAATCTGACTCCTGAATCGTCTGGGAAACATGTCTCTCTTCTTCAAACCTTCGAATCTTCTTTTCTCTGCTCAGAATACGATTTCCACAGTTTTGTTCCTCGATTGAAGGAGGGAGGAGCCGATGCTGCGCAAGCGAGAGGGAAGGGAAGGGAAATGAGGGAACTCGATGGGAAAACCGAAAAAGAGAAGAGGCGGTTTTTTTTTTAAATAAAATGGTGTCGTTTAAGTTAGCTGACAGGTTAAAAAAAATATAACTAGGCAACCCACTGAACCAGATTTAGCCGGTTTAATACCGGTTTTTTTTTGTTAAACCGGTTTTTCACCTGTTCACCACCAATCCAACATTTAAACCAGACTGGACTGTAGACCGGTTCACCTGTTTTCCGGTTGAACCGGCCAGTCCGATCTGGTTTTTTTTCCTTGGTCAACTGTGTCTTTCATGCGTGGACATCATCCACACACACACCACCAAATTAAATAATCCCCGCCAGATGGCACCAACATGTTTCCCTCTACCTTTCTGAAGCTCATGCTCTCCTCTGCCCTTCCTCCTCCGAAAGAGGATTCTTTCCTCTACCCTTCCCCTTCCCCACCCCTCCTATATTTCTTTTATAAAATATTAAAACTGTATCACTTGATTATTGATAAAATTAAACTTCTAAATTTCCATCTAAACATTTTACCAATTGTAGACTATTATTATAAATTAGATTCTTTCCCCTGATTTTTCAGTATTGCTGTGAATTCTTCATTTTAAATTTTGATCATTTAAATTTACTTATGTATTTCTTATGTAAAATTATAATACTACATTTGGTCATAAATATGAAAGCTGGTTAAAGGCCTTAAATATAAGATTTCAATCCACTTTGATCTATTTCACTAGGCTCAACTCTTAAATTGATGGATTTAGGATCGGCCCACAAATTTTTGATTCATTTAAAAAACAATATTTTTTCGATCCTTAATATAAGATCTAATTGTTAAGTTAATTTTGATCATAAATATAAGACCTATTTCTCACATTTATCAGTTTTTTCTAAATTACCCTCATGGATACTCTCTCAACTATAATCAACTAAGTGAGGGTGGAAGGATATTAAGAAAGATGATTATAGTATTTTAGGAAAAACATATCATATTTCTTATAATTAACTAACTTTCCTAACTTCCTTAATATAATCAAATTAGTTAAATATGTATTATACTAAGGGCGGAAAGAGTACAATGTTTTTTTTATATTTTCTATATGTTTTATAAAAAATTAAAATAAAACAATGATATTATCAATAAAAGGTATAGATATGAATAAAATTAAGTCACATACATAAAACATAATCGTATTTAAACATCTATCAACATTAAAAAATATAAAATATTGATCAACAAGACTACAACATTTAAAAGTTCTATCAAAAGTGTTATAAAATAGACAAATGTTATCATCAATTTTTTAAAACTTCTTCATCACTGTTATTAATTGCTCTTCTTTATGAGTGTGCTCTTTTTTAGTGGTAAAAATATCAAGTTTTTTTTAAATAAAATTTTTACTTTCAAATTTGTATTCTAGCTATTAATTAAACAAATTGTTGTCTAAAACTAAATAAATCAAACTGTTTTGTGAAATTTAATTTCAAAATGATAATAATAACTAAATATTTAAAGTATCATTAATAATATAAAGAATTAATAATATTAGGATTATATTTTTTAAAAAAAACAAAAAAATTACAAAAAGTGCTCGTTTCACCCTCCGCCTTCCAAAATCAGTCTTTTAAAACTCGTTTTTCATTTGAAAGAAAAAATTTCAAATCAGGTCCTAATAATTTTCACGTGTTTTTGGGGTTTTAAATACCTTGGGTAATATTACCAGGAGCCTAACCACATATGCCTAGACCAACTGAGCCTTGACTGGGAAAGCTCCAACCAGGGAGGTGCGCCGCCTTTTAGTGGATGATGTTGTCTGTTTTGAACTTTCAAGTGTAATGCTTGCCTTATAATTCAAAAAAAAAAAAAAAACTTTGGGTAATGATCTGGAGCACACGTGAGCGGGCAACTTGATTTGAAGAGTAGTTCATCAACTTTGTAGATAGTGAGCGCGGGAGGAAAACAGTGATTACCCCCAGGAATGCCACGAGCAGTGCGCCCCATTTGCCAGCTAATTCGTTCCGCGTTAAACGTGAACAGGACCATGAACATGCAAACTATGCAAGTTGAGGTGGGCGGCCCCTTGCATTATCCCCCCGTGCTGGGTTTCCTCTCTCACAACCTTATCCCTTGTCAACAGTGTCTTTCACGCGTGGACGTCATCCACACACACACCACCAAATTAAATAATCCTCGCCAGGGGACACCGACATGTTTACCTCTACCTTTCTGAAGCTCATGCTCTCCTCTGCCCTTCCTCCTTCGGAAGAGGAAATCCTCTACCCTTCCCCTTCTCCACCCCTCCTTTAGGGTTTGTTTGGTTGGAGGGGAAGGAAGGGAAGGGGAGGGAAAATGAACCCCTCCTCTCATTTGGTTAAAAATTTTGAAAGGGAGAAGAGCTAAAATGTCCCCTCCCCTCCCTTTCCTTCTCCCATTTTGGCTCCCTTTCAAATTGGGGGTTTTTGGAAGGGATCCAAATTTTTGGACCATTATTGCCCTTATAGTTTTTTTCAATATTCCACTTCTACCCATAAAATATATTATTATAATATTTATTTCAAATAAAAATATATACATATTATAATTAAAAATATATTATAAAAATTATTTAAAATAAAAAATTATTTAAATAAAAAATTATAATATTATAAAATTAATTGTTTTTTATAAATATATTATTATTAAATATATTTTAAAGCTGGAAAAAAAAGATAGCCTAAAGAAAATAAAATTTCATTTTTCTTATAGCAATAAAATTTGTTAATTTGATTATTTTAAATATATTATATTAATTAGAATAAAAAATTACTGTACCAATTTTTTAATACACATATTAACATGATAAGACTGGATTTTTATTAAATTATATGATTTAAATTAAGATGTAAATTAATTTATATAATATATCAATAAAAAACATAAACTAATATGTAAGGGTAAAATGGTAAATTAATTATTACTATCCCTCCCCTCCCCTCCTTGAACCAAACAAGAGATCATTAAATATCCTCTCCTTTCCTCCTTTTAATTAACCAAACAAGGTGAGGATGAAACCTCCCCTCCCCTCACCTCACCTCCCCTACCCCTCCCTCCCTCCCCTCAAACCAAACAGGCCCTTGGGGTATGTTTGGCTCAATGAGAGGAAGGGGAGGGGAGGGATTTTAATGGAGGGAAGGGGAGGGGAGGGGAGTGGAAGGATTTTAATATTATCTTGTTTGGATTTATAAAAAAAGAGGGGAGGGGAGGGAAAAATATTTTAATATGGACAATTTTGCTCTTATTTTATTTAAGGCGTGGACATAATGGTCACAACATGACAAAATATAGACATAATAGTCACAGCATGACAAAATATGGGCATAATGGTCATAATATGACAAAATATTACCCTTTCCCTCCAAATCCTCCCAATTTTGGAGGGGAAGTTGAGGAGGGGAGGGGAGGGAAAATTTTTTTAAAATTTTCCCTCCCATCCCAAAATTTGTGTGTTGCCAAATAAGGGGAAATGATTAAAATCCCTCCCCTCCCTTCCAAATCCCTCATACCAAACACACCTTAGAGTTAGAATCTGTTTGTTACTAGGGAGACGGAGGGAAAGGCAGGGAAGAGAAAATTTTAATGAGCTCATTTTAAAAAATTAAAGAAGTAGGGTTAAAATTTTTTGATTAATTTTAATTACTCTTTTATCTTAGATTTTTCTCTTTTCAAAATTTGATGAGCCCACTTCTTCAATTTTTTAAAATAAGCTCATTAAAATTTTCCTTCCCCTCCCTTTTCCTTCATTGCCCTCATGCCAAACATACCCCTCCCATATTTCTTTTTATAAAATATTAAAACTGTATTATTCTAAAATATTATAAATGGTCAAATTTGAATCGCCGCATTTTCATCGGTAACGGTGAAGGGAGGGGAAGGGTAGAGGGGGGTAGAAATGGAGAAGGGTAGATGAGAGATCCTCTTCCGAGACTTCAAAACCGCGTTTGAAGTTGCTCAGATTTGCGAACAAATTTCATTACTTCCCATTGATTCACAACAGTCTTTCAAGTTGCTGAGATTTTTGAAGCTAGGAAATTCAAGAATGGCTGATTCGAATTTCCAATCCTACACCCAGCTTTTCTTCATTTGGTTACTCACCACCATCCTAGTTCGGACAATACTGAAGATGAAAAAGAATGCTCGTCGTCCTCCCAGCCCAATGGCCCTCCCTGTCATCGGACACCTTCACCTTCTTTCCCCTCTTCCTCACCAAGACTTGCACAAACTCGCCCATCGCTATGGTCCTGTCATGCACCTTTACCTCGGCTCTGAACCTTGTGTGATCGTTTCCACTGCTGACGCTGCCAAAGAATTCCTTAAAACTCACGAACTTACCTTCTCCAATCGACCAGCTGAAACTGCTGCTGTCAAGCACTTGTCCTACGAATTCAAAGATTTCTTGTTTGCCCCCTATGGACCCTACTGGAAGTTCATGAAGAAGCTGTGCATGTCTGAACTTCTCGGCGGGAGAATGCTTGATCAATTCCGTTTGGTGAGGGAGCAGGAGATGAAGAGATTTCTGACAAACTTGGTTCAAAAAGGGAAGTTCGGTGGTGAGGCGGTGAATCTTGAGGCGGAGCTCTTGGTTCTTTCAAATAACATTATATGCAGAATGGCTCTAAGTCGAACGAGTTCTGAAAGCGAAGACGATGCTGACGTGATGAGGAAGTTGGTGATCGGTGCGGCTGAGCTCACTGGACAGTTTAACATATCAGACTTCATTCCGTTCTTCAGGATATTGGATTTGACGGGATTCAACAAGAAGTTGCGGGAAGCTCAACGGAAGTTTGATACCTTCTTGGAGAGAATAATAGAAGAGCATCAAGTAGAAAGGAGAAAAAGAAAAGAGATGGGTGCCAGAGGAGATCACGTCCGGGACATACTGGACGCTTTGTTAGACATACATGAAGACGAGAACGCCGAGATGAAATTGACAAGAGAAAATATCAAGGCCTTTATCATCGTGAGTGGAGTCAACCGTCCAGATCTGATTTCTTTTCTTATTTTTACGTTTAAAATTAATAATTTTAATTAGCATGGAATTCTTTTCCCAAAAAAAAATAATTAATTGAAAATATTATATCTGTACGGTTCAGAGGAAATGAGGGCTGGGTAAATATCAGATCCGTCATAAATTTTATATTCGCGTACAGTTTGCAACAACTAACATGCCTGATTTTAATTTACACAGGACATATTTGTGGCTGGGACAGACACATCAGCCTTAACCATGGAATGGGCTCTCGCAGAGTTAATCAGCCATCCGCATGTACTGGAGAAAGCACGGCAAGAAATTGACTCGGTGGTGGGAAAGAACAGAATAGTAGGAGAGTCAGATATACCAAAACTTCCGTACCTTCAAGCTATAGTAAAAGAAGCAATGAGGCTTCACCCTGCAGGTGCACTGATCTTCAGGGAATCATCAGAAGGCTGTGTAGCTAGCGGATACGAAATCCCAGCGAAGACCCGCTTATTTGTAAACGCGTGGGGTATTGCTAGGGACCCTAATTACTGGAAGGACCCACTAGAGTTTAAGCCGGAGAGATTTATGACCGAAGATGGAAATGCAGAGAGTCAAATGAGCGTTAGGGGTCAGCATTTTGAGTTCCTTCCTTTTGGAAGTGGAAGAAGAGGATGTCCTGGAACCTCGCTAGCCCTTCAGGTTGTGCAAACCAATCTTGCTGCCATGATTCAATTGTTCGAATGGAAGATGGATGGTCCGGTTAGCATGGAGGAAAAGCCTGGGATTACCATTTCAAGGGCTCATCCCTTGATTTGTGTCCCTGTGCCCAGGCTTCACCCATTTCCTTCTATATCTTTGTGATTCACGGTTCTTCTCCCAAGCACCATCGATGAAAATGTGTTGTACCGATTTTCTTTCTTCTAGAATATAATAAAAAGATAAGATATTTACGGTTATCTTGTGTGTTGGCTTTGGTTTTTTTTCTTTTTTTGTAAACCTGAATGAGATATATTATCGTATCTCTTATGTGTAATATAGTCTCGCCAGTGTCAGTGTACGTTTTTATAATAAATGAAGGTTTGTTTTTAATTTGTTAGACCTTGTTGGATGATTTCAATAAAGTTGACCTTTCCAAGTTGCTCGGTTAATTTAAGTAATGTTTCAGGGGACCCATCTGTGGGAGCCTGTGTCAGCCCTCGAAATTTTTCATTCCTTTCCTTTCCATCATAATTAATTATTTCTACCAAACCGGCTAAGAGATTCGTGGTTATTTGCAAGCTCGTTAAAGTGGAAGAAAATTCCATTTGTTTGGAAGGAAGGAGTGACGGGAGGAAGTTGATTCTGTGGTTGAGAAGCTCAAGGGGACGGGTGCTTCTCGTGTACTGAAATGAACTGATCAGTTTTGCTTCTACTCTGACTTGTTCTGCGTAGTCATAAGGGAACGAACGCGCACACGCGGTCTCTCCAGGTTAAATTGCCTTTGACAAGTTTGATCTGATTTGGCTATATATTGTTAACACATGATTTATTGTTAAATCACGGTTCATTATAATACTCTTCCGGTCCTTAATATAGGACCCAATTCTTGAGTTGGTTTTGGTCCTAAATATAAGACCTATTTATCATATTTATCAATTTTCTCTAAATTACCCTTATGGACACTTCTTTAACCATAATCAAATAAAAGAGGAATATGAGGTATTAAGAAAGATGATTATGGTATTTTAGAAAAAACATGTCACATTTCTTATAATTAACTAACTTACCTAACTTCCTTAATCTAATCAAATTAGTTAAATGAGTCTTATATTAAGGACCGGACGAGTATATAAACTAGGGCCGAAGGACAAAATTACCTATTATAGTACCCAAAAAAATACTAGACACCGTAATAAAATATTGAGTGGAAAAGTACACATGCATATTTTAAAACGGGGCTAAAATACCACCTCCATCAATTCTCCCAAACGTCGGTTACTTTTTATTTTTGTAGGACCCACCTAATGTTCATGTGCTATATGCTTATATGAGTTAATACCAGCCCATCCTTAGCCTTTTTCCCTCTCCCTCTCCTCTTAACATGTACCCCTTTCCCCCACTCCTACCACTTTCCCTTTTATCGTCGTTTTCTCTTCTCTTTTATAAACCATTTCCTTCTATTACAATTCTCTCTCTCTTTATGGCGTGTTGGGACGATACTTGCTCTGCTTACCTCCACCATTGGCAGTGGTGCTACCGCCAGTCCGCCACCGCCATAGCCACCTCCGATGATCCTGAAACTACCCACAAGCTTTGCACCATTATTATCCCCCATTACCCCATCTGAGATGTCGTCACAGCTGCTAACATCGCTTTCGGCGCTCTCAATCTCTTTGAACTGGCATAATTGATTGGAGACTTGTGTTATCTTAGCTTATGATTTTCTTTTTAAAACTTGCTTCCTGTCATTGATTCATTTGAGCTTAAGTGTTTCCCTTGAGTGAATGAATCATGGGATTTCCACTTTAGTTTCATTGCCAGGCAACAATGCTCGTCAACTGTGATAAAGACGATGAAAATGACAATGAAGAGTGCTCATCCCTTATCAAAGCAAGCTTTTTCTAATGAAGCTTGCTCTTGCAATGAAGCTCGCTGTTGTAATAATTCTTGCAAGCTTCTCCCTGCATGGGTGTCGTTGTGGAATGAGAAATGGGAGAGAGAGAGAGAGATGGTGCTTATTGGATAATTAGGAAAGAAAGTTTGGAAGGATAAGAGGGAGAGAGAGAAGAAAGAAACGAAGGATGAGAGGGAGAGAGATTGATAAAGTAAAAAAGAAAAAGGCCAAGGGTCGCTGAGCTGGCCAAAAGTGGGTCCCACAAAAAGTAAAAAATAAACAGACAATTGGAAGAGTTAACGAACATGATATTTTTGTCTCGTTTTGAAAAGAACATGTGTATTTTTACCTCCCAATATTTTATTAAAGTACTTGGTATTCTTTTTACATGTTACAATAGGTAAATTTGTTCTTTTATCTTAAAAAATATTATGAAAAACAAGATTAAGATGACCAAGGAATTCGAAGTTAAACATACTATATTATCCGGACGCCGGCAAATTATAACTCACGTTCAAGCTCTGAAGTCGCAATGCAGTCAATCCCAGTGAGCGGATACACATTTCGCACATACAGTAGCAGGAGGTGAGAAGGTAAGGATTCTTGAGGTCTTTCTTGATTTGAAGAAGGACTTTCTTGTCTCGCGGATGACATAGTGCTCGATCGGAGCGAGCAGGAGCATAGAAATAACAGAGCCATGCATGCTTGGCAAGGTCATTGGTGTTTAACTGTTTATACAGTGAAGCAAAGAGGACGCTTAGAGAATCTGTGAGAACTAATGATATTCCGAGCGGCTCCGGAATTTTAAATTTGAAATTGGAAAACACCAGCAGAGCATGGTTTCCAGTTTGGGACACAAAATCTGAAAACATTTGTGGGGCAACAGAAAGCTTTGCGGATATGGTCGAAAATGTAGGGGAAGCAAGAGATTATTGCATGTTTCTGTCTGGCATTTGGCAGCAAACTGGTCGTGATTTTGTTTTGAGTGCATGAACTTTTCTAATACTCCATATATAATGCTTTCGGACTCTCGAAATAAAATAAAATAAAGTAAAATCATGTAAATCACGTGATATTATTTGACGTGTCATAATATTTTGTATTCTTTAGAGAAACTTGGAAAAAAAAAAAGACTTAATCAAAAGACATTTAAGAAAGTGGCTAGAGTTGCAAAATAAATTAATCAAAGGCCATTTAGAATGACTTATAACTAGTTTTTTAATCGTAATTTATAAAATACGAGATAAGTGTGTGAGAGAAGTTTTCTCTCGACTTATATAAAACATATTTATAAGTGATTTCAAACGCTAATCCAAATAGAGCCATAGTCTCATATAGTCTTTGATAGTTGTCTCTCCTTATTCCTTTTTATTCAAAAAAAAAACTGGTAATATAGATCATTAAATCATCCCTAATTTCCTATATATTTTGCTTAATTTATGGTTGTACTTACAGAAACTAACACAACATACTTTTGCACATTCGAGTTGCAGGCTGCCTGACAGTCGTCCAAGTCAAAGTCAAAGTCAAAGAAAGACGTATCCTCTTCAAAAAAGGAAGAAACTAGAGGGCAAATTGGTTGGTTTCTATGACAGCGCCGCTTTCTTGTTGGAATTATACCTTTTATTCTCTTTTTTTGGCCAAAATTATTATACCTTTTATTCGAAGTGCATTTCTTTAGGCCCAAAAATCCCATCTTCCACCAAGGAATCCAAAGGTGGCTTCTGTTAAAAATTAGCACAAACCTCAAAGCACGTGACATGCAGAGTTCGAGTCCTCTCCATTTACCCTCTTACTTGTTTTATTTGTTTTTTTTTTTTTTGGGTTTACCAAGTCAAAAGACGTGAGACTTGTTCACGTTGGTTTGCGATTATCTAGGATTAGTTGTTGCTAAATAGGGGGAGCACTATTAGGATATCTAAGTAGTTAGAGAAAAATATGGGAATCTAGTTCGTGGCTCAGTGCTATATATGGACCATGCTGTAATCGATTGAGATATACAGAAATTCATAAATATTCCCATAAGATATCATCAGTCCTCATTGTTCGTTATTCTCCGTCTTATTTGTTTTAGCTTCATTTAATGAATGTAGGTATCAATTTTATTGTGATTTGCTGGGTAGAGCAAATTAACATTCAACGCAGCTCGCTGCTTGTGGCGAAAGATAGTAATTAAAACATCGTCTAATGAAACACACACACACACACACAGAGGAACATATAATCGCCGTGTTCGCGGCTCAGCTGTTTATTTTATGCGCCGCGGAATACGTAGCCGTTTAGTGGCACGGGAAGAGCAATTATTTGCATGCCGGTAACGGCGAGCCGCAAAGGCAGCTGTTATGGAAATAGGAATACACGTCGAAGCTCTGCAACTTTCCTCCCACCGGAATCTGACCGCACAGCCTGTTATAGCTCACATTCAAGTACTGAAAATTCAGTTCCGTCAACCCCCCAGGAAGACTCCCGTACACCTTATTGTGATTCAGATCCAGCGACGTCAGGCTGCTCGGGAACACCACCTTGCTCACATTAAACGCCAACAGATTCCTCGAGAGGTCAACTATCTGCACCGTTTTATTGGACCCGAACAGCATGGACGCGTCTCCCTCCAGCTTGTTCCGCGACAAATCTATGGTAGTCAAGTTCAAGTTGATGAAAGAGTTGGGGATCTGACCGGAGAGATTGTTGTGAGAGAGATAAAGATCAGGGCTGCTCTTGAAGTAACCGAAGGACTCAGGGATCGAACCCGTGAGGTGATTGCGGTCCAAGTGAAGGGCGGCGAGGCCAGACAATTGGGAGAGAGAAGGCGGGATTGTGCCAGAAAGATTATTGAACGAGAGGTCCAGGAAAGTGAGGCTATTGAGCTGGGCCAGGAAGCTCGGAACGGGACCGGAAAGGTTGGTCCAGCTGATGCGGAGGAAGGTGAGACGAGTGAGGCGGGCGATGGCAGGCTGGAGCGGGCCGGTGAGATTGGGGAGCTTGTGGAATTCCAGAGAGCGGAGGAAAGGGAGATTGGCGATGGAAGGCGGGATTTGAGCGGAGAAATTAGAGCGGGCGGTGGAATCAAGAATGGTTAGGGAGACGATGCGGTGGGTTTTGGGATCGCAAGTGACGGTGTACCAGTCGCAGCAATCGGTGGCGGGGTTCCATGAGGCTAGGAGGTAGGGATTGTTGAGATCTTTCTTGAGCTGCAGCAGAGCTTTCTTGTCGGCGGGGTTGCATAGCTCCGACGACAGAGCATGAGAGATGAGTACAAGAAGCAAACACAGACGAAACATATTGGGATGCGATGGGAGGATCGACCGTAGGGGGATGATGCGTTTATATATTAGTATATTATGTGCGTATGAGCGGGAAGCGTCAACTTCAATTTACGAATGAGGGCCGGTCTTCATTTTCTTTACGAGTTCTTTTTGTTGGGAACATTTTGTCAAAGTTCTTGATGATCGTTTACATCATTAATGATAAGTAGGAAGATCTGGAATGATTCTGAACCGCAGCTAGCAGCTGAGAATATGACATGCCGTTACGTGCACGAGTTAGACACGCCTCCCCCCTTCATTATTATCATCTGTCAATTGTCAAATGTGTGCTTATTTGCCTAAATAACTGTCAAATGACTCACAGTAACACGAAGATCATGGATTTGGTTAAGATTACGCTATTTTCATCCGCCATATGGCTGCTGACTTAACAGTTGATAATTCTGCTCTAACCCTCTTTGTGGCAAAGTAGTGTTATTTATTGTGTGTTGTATAGCCATGCTCCATGTCAAATTATTCGACTGCCGCATCCACCCCGGGAGGTATCGTGATAAGGCATATTAAGAGTGGGTGATTAGAAGGCATGTCTAGCTGAGGGAGGCGACTTGAAAGCCGAGGATCCAATCCAAGACCCACCCTCAAAAACCATGTCTTGTGAAACAGAGTCCGCCGAGCCCCGGGCAAAAGGATAAACTGTTGAAACTTGTGCCCGAAAGAAAAAAACAAGGGACAAAAATATAAGTGTGAAATCAGGGGGTGTGAAATCAGTGTGTGGGAGGTGGGTGAGACATCCATTGATTCACCAATCTAGTTTACTTGATACTTTGCGTTTGAAAAGACCGGTTAATTAAAAAGAAAAAGAATCAAACTTTTATTCAACTTCATAACTTAATTTATAGGCGGTCCTATTTTGATGATTTTAATTCAAGATGCGAAGCTTGGGTTTTGGAAAGTGCGTGGAAGTAGTGCTACATTTTAATTAACATCATTTTATGCATTGTATTGCCTAAAACAAATGTTATTGTTTGGACTTTTATTCCGTTGGCTCACTACATGTATGATATTTTGGAACCAAAAAAAGCCCAAAAAGAGGCCCAATAACTGAACAAGCCCACTAACCGAACTGAATGGTTAATTCGGTTTGGTTAGTTAATCATGTTCGGTTTCAGCTCGGTGTTGGCATTATGATCTATTCGGTTATTCGGTTATTTAGTATCACTAACCGAACCGAATAGGATGTGATGTGGCGCTCGGTATGAAGGTCATAAAAACGATTGATATAGTGTTGGGCAAAATATGTTACAAAACCCTTTATCTTAGGGCTTTTTGACCTGCTATTTACCCTCGGCCTTTGGTATAACGAGACATATTCTCTCCCCGGGGTCTCTTTGACCTACGTGATTGGCCCAAAGCAAGAGAGAGCTTTTACGCTCTATTTTGTTTTTTGGGCTCTCTTTTGAGCCCAAGCATTTAACTCTCACACTTGTAAAGTTAACCTAACTTTATTGATAAATCAGTTATTGTCTTCTTTATGGAAAAATATAAATTTTCACTTTTTAAGTTTTAATATATTACAAGGACTAAAATTTCAAGCCGTGATGTTAAAATAAAAGCACTCCGTTTGCATCTTCATATACACAAGACCTTTTTTTATTATACGAAATTTGAAAAATAATTTATATTATACATACTTATAACTGATTCATTTTGTCATGAAATTCACTATATATATTGATGAGTTGTATTTTTGTGACATAGATATATGTTATGGGAACAATAATTTTTTAAAATTTAATTTGTCCTTTCTTTACAATTCGTGCCTTTGCAGCTAGCTAACCTTATAAGAACGCCGAGCACAAAATCCACTGATTCATGAGCCAAGGAAAGAATTGGGAACACCCGGGGAGGACCCCCTTCCCCGAGTTAAAGTGAGGTCTAACAATATGATAATTTTCAATAGTAAACAAAGTTTGCCAGGTTGAAATCAAATATTTTCGAACCAGATCTGTTCAGGCTTAGAATTGGAAACCAGTCACTTAGGGAATAAGAATTACCATCATTCACCCGCAGAGCTAAGGCATTGAGTTTTCAGTGGGAAGCAAATTGATTCATTTCAATTTGATAGCGCTGGTGTATTCCTCCTGTACTTCCACAGTCAGAGACATACAAGTAAAATTCAATTCTATAACGTGCCGTGTCTATTTAGATTAAATTATATGCAGCGTAGCGTGGGGAGAAGGCAGGGTGGAAGCTGAAGCAGACACATGGATTCAATTCAATTCAATTTATAATAGTAATAATAGAAGAAAGAAAGTTAATTAACAAGGAGATTAATTAATTAATTAATTAAAGGCTAATTCAGGATGTAGGTAGGTAGGTAGGTTGGCTGGCTACTTCGGAGGAAGCTCCAATCCAAGATTACGTTACGGTCATTCTTGACGAGGTCGTCCCATCCACAGAGAACTGAGAGCTCTGAGACGATGGAAGTACTCGGCGATGGCCAGCATACACCTCGCCGCCTGCCGCGTCGTCAGTATCTCATGCAGACGGTGAATGGTCTGTTGCCTCAGATTATCTGCCTGTTGAAGTTTTCATTAAAAACAAAAGGAATTAATAATTATTGTCATAAAACTCAACAATGTCAACTCCATATTTTTATGCAGGCTTCAGTTAGAACTTGAATTTTATAATCACACACGGCACCTTTATGCCCTACTTTAGAAGCAAATGCACCTAGACACATTTCATTGAAGGGGGCAGGAGGGCCAATCAGAGTCTTCCCACGAGTCCAATATCTTGAAACATGAACAGGACTCGCAACCTCTCTATCTACTTATGACTTGTTGATTATGATGTCTCCATAGTCAATGCTCGGATTATTTAATGATGGACTTAATTTCCTTGGAAACTTACGTGGAAGCACACCCCGCACAAAAACTAGACCAGGTGGTCAAAAAGATGTACGTGCGCGCCTCTCTGTGTGTGTGTGTGTGTGTGTTAAAACCAATATATTCAAAGGTATAAACTTTTTCAAAGAGAAGCAGGGGTTTCATTCAAAATTAATGAAGACACTGCTGTTTTCAACTATTCTGAATCCAAAGGGCACAGACATTTATATCAAAATACATACAAAGCCACGCACGCACGCCACCACGAATTTCATAGTCTACATTTACGATAGAAGCATGAATACTTCAAAATAAAATGGTCAAATTATGACTGTACTGATTGCTTGCTAGTGTGTTAAAACTAGTAATCATTGTGATTAATGTACTCTACCTGATAATTCCTCGATTTGACGGTTACTTGGAACATATATAAGCTTTTATTCTTCAGTGGCTTGTGAAATCAGCGACTGACCCATTGAAATATAAACCAATGTTGGTGAACCAACTCAATTATAATAAGCTTCATCACAAAGAATTTTAAGGACATTTTATTCCTGTACTCAATCCAAGTTTAATTTCGTTTCTGCTTTTCTTCTCCTTTAATATGTAATTTGTCTTGTTTGATGTGTTTCACATATGGGATATATACACACGCACCTGATGCATGGGACCTATTCAGGACATCTTCATTAGAATTTAATGGGTTCACGTAATTATTGATTAGAATATAATGATAATTAATGACCATTCATTGGAAGAAGTAGGTGATCGGGTGGATATTTAGAGGAATAATGTTTTGTTTTTTGTGTTTTGAAGTTCCGTTGGATCAGCATGTGAGTTTGTTTGGTTCTTTTTGTCTGTTTGGCCCTCTTGCTTTTGGCCTGAAGTGTTTGTGTGGTTCAAGACAAGGTCAAAAGAGGAGTTATACATAGAGAAGCAACAATATGTATGTGGTGTCCTCAACCTGATCAAGGGTTGGTTACGATCGTGACATCATCACATATGGGGCTCAATGGACCTCTCTGGATGAAAATTATACTAGTGCGGGACCACTAGCTACCCCTACTGTCACTAGTACATGATTCCTCACACCTTTCCTCCGTATTGTAATCTCTCTGTAATCTGCATGCTTCTAAGGTTCAAACTAACTACAATCAATCCTGTTTTCAAAAATTTTTCAATAATATAGTCACTACAAATAATATACATCCCTTAGAGTTCTTCCCAAACAGAAACTATAAAAATGAAATTTAAGTTTCCTAATATCTCTATGATTCACGCAAGTTATATATACATTCACCATCAATTTATTTATGGAAACTCATGGGGCGGCTTTAATTTGATTTATCATTGTCAAGTAGGTGTATCTATGGTGTATGCCCCTGAAAAACTGACTAGTAACGAACGATATTTCCGTTTCCAGAAAAAAAATTATGTCCCCTTGTTAATATTTTGTAGATTCCATGAGGACTGAGACATGCATGGAAGGAGTTGTTCATGGGGTTGGGGCAGGTCACTCCCCTCCCCAGCTACCCAAAGAGGAACAGAGATTCTTTGGTCCTAGCTGCCTAATTAGCCCCACGGGATCAGATATAGAAGCAGTCTTGGGGGACCACAAACTAATTAAACCAGAACACGAGGCCACAAATAAAACCACTACCACAAACAGATTCAAAATGCTTGCCTTCATGATCTTTATGTAGTATACATATATACGTAACATAAACAGAGTGAAAATGAATCGTCTAACGTACCTGTCTCACGAAACCTTCTAGAGTAGAGAGCTTATTTATGGCCATGGCCATCTGTCCCATGAAGTTGGCCATATTGGGCGGACAGCTCAGTGAGTCAGATGTTATAGTGTCCGAGAGAGATTGATTGAGAGCCTCAAGCCCTTGGGAGAGAGCATCTTCTGCCTCTTGCGTAGACTGTTGCAACCCATATATTCCCAGTATTTGTTGCTCCGTCAGGGG